GGGAGTGTGATAAGAAGCCTGCAGAGTCCAAGCCCCTGGGATTAAACAGCAGCTCCTCTCTGTTCATTAGCACTGCTCTCACTTTGTGTGAAGATATCAAACAGAAATTGATTTATTTTTGACCATGTCTCACCAGGTTTGAATTAATTGGGGACTGAATTAATAAATTGTGTGACCATAACAGGTATTAATTTTTTAATATTATTAGAGACTGCATCCATATTTAGCCAGGCATGAACCAAGCTCACAGGAGGGGAAACAAATCAAGAGATTTTGAGACATTTCTCATCCCATAAATGACATAATGATAAATTACATCATTTAAATGGGCTGGGCAGTGAATTTTGTGGGTGCTACAAATTTCCCAGCTGGGTGCAAAGCCCAGTCATGGAAGTGGCAGCTCCTCCAAATATCTGCTGGAGCAGCAAGGACACCGGGAGCTCGTAGGGCTTTGCTGCACGTGACTGACAGGACACTGACAGCAAGGCCATGTCCAGCTATTTTTTTCCAGCTCTTTTCTTTCTGTTTCAGTTCCTCAGGCTTTGGGAACTCACAGCTTCTCCTCATTTCCCTGTGGCAGCTGACCCACCACCAGCCCAGGTTGCTCTGGAGCGAATGCACGTGGATGGAGTCCCTCCCCGGAGCTTCTGCCTCCTCAGCAGGATGGAAGGAGGGGAAAAAGGGAATTTCCAGAGGCACTGCAGGTAGTTTGGGTGCCCTGCTGGTTTGTGGGGTCCCCATCCTTCTCACTTGTCTGGGAATGGCTGAGGGCGACGAGCCTTGGGCTCCCCACACGAAGCCAGTTGTGTCCCAGGTTAAGCAATTCCCTGTGCCAGGAGCTGCTCTCACACAGGTTAAGGAATTCCCTGGCCCAGGAGGAGCTGCTGTCTCAGTTTAAGGAATTCCCTGTGCCAGGAGGAGCTGCTGTCTCAGTTTAAGGAATTCCCTGTGCCAGGAGGAGCTGCTGTCCCAGGTTAAGGAATTCCCTGTGCCAGGAGAAGCTGCTGTCCCAGGTTAAGGAATTCCCTGTGCCAGGAGGAGCTGCTGTCTCAGTTTAAGGAATTCCCTGTGCCAGGAGGAGCTGCTGTCCCAGGTTAAGCAATTCCCTGGGCCAGGAGGAGCTGCTGTCCCAGGTTAAGGAATTCCTGTCCCTGTGGTTCCCCAGCCTTCTCCCTTTCCTTCTTCTCCCTGATTTTTTTCCTTGGTCACACAGGCTGTAATGCACTGCCATGTTTCTCCCCCAACACCCTTTCAATAAATGCCATCCTTTCACTTTCCAGTGCCATCTGAAATGGGAATGGAGCCCCTGGGAAGAGCCCATTTATGGACAGGGAATCCAGAGCAGCCATGAACCAAGGCACACAGGAATAAGGACTTGGGCAGATGCAGGAATGGGAACTAATTTTAGTTATTCCATTGCAAGCTCATCACACTGTCAGTGTCACACTCCTCTTTATCTCCCATCTCACACCCAGCAGTTACCTCATGCCACAGCTATCTCCTGACAGGAACCGTTGTGGGGCATTTTTGCAATAATTCCATCCCTGTATTTTGGAAAACCTCAAGTCACATGCTGTGGTTGCTACAGCATGTTTGCATCTCTCTCCTGCTTCCCTGCAGTGGTGTGACTGAGGTCCCTGATTAGGGAGCAGCCTTGACCCAAAATTCCTGAAAAAATAAAAAAAAGAATGACCAGAAAAACATTTTTATACATTTTAAAAGAAGCCTGCTATGCAGTAACAATTTAATGAAATTTTGCAGGTGCAGACTGCTGAACCAAAACCCACATGTGGGGAAATCAGATGTGACACTGTATAACTGGCAGACTTTTCATTCCCTGGGGAGCTATTCATGCCCAGAAAACTCAGGGGGGCACAAGCAAACACTGATCACCTTCTCCTGGGAAAGGTTCCCCCTGTGAGGCTGCTCCAAGCCTCTGGCTGAGCAAAAACCAGGCTAAAAAAAGGGTGAGGGTGCTTCAAAATCACTTCATTCTTCTTCTGAGGAGCATCACACCCTCTGGATCTCGTGTGTCCCTTGGCCAAGGGACATTCCTGTGACCACTCTGCAACTCAGGCTGCCCAATGAGCACCTGCTGATGAAATGGGGTCAGTGTTGGTGCTACAGATTAATTTTTTATTAATTAATGCTTCAGCTGTGATGCTTATTAATGTTCCCTCAGCTACCTCAGGTGATCTAGTTAGCATTGATTTTTTGGAAAGCAACTTCTTTCTAGGATAAAGGTAAATTGCAGTGCATACTTGGGAAAATAAAAGACAAACCATTTCAGTGACACGAAATAAAACCCTTCTGTTACACAATTCAGTTCAGAAAAAAAATAAATAAATAATTATCAGTGTGTTAAAATCATCAGCTTAAGGAAACAGGAAGCTGCTTTTATATCAGATGTGCTCTCTGGGTACCCCTCATCTGGCAGATCCCCAGCAAGCCCTGCATGGAATTAAGTCAGGAAACCCAGCACAGGCTGCTTTGTGTGCAAGCCCTGCACTCTGCCATTGTTCAAGGACTTATCACAACAGAGCGGAAATGTGAAAACACTCGGAATGTCTGAGCAGGAGCTGTGCTCCTAACGAGCCACGGAGGCAAGCAGCCCCTGCTGGGTTTGGAGGTGGGTGTCACCTCCCCGTGCTCAGCTTTTCGCTTTACACAGTCCTGCCTGGGCTGGGCTGGGCTGAGCTGGGCTCAGGGAGGTGCCAGCCCAGCCCCAGAGCAGCTGAAGTGATGCTGGCACCCAGAGACCTGGGCTGCACTGCAGGCTGAGGATTAGCTCATAGAAAAGGGGGAAAAACCTGGAAAAGCTCCTCTGCTCTGGAACTGCTCACCTGCACCAGCAGAGGAACAGAGAGAATTTCACTCAGCCTCTGACCAAGGGCCAGACCCCAAAATACTCCGTGTGTTCCTAGTGAGAGAGGAGAAACACTCAAACACTCAGAGTGACACAAATGCTGAAGAAATCCTTTTAAATGCAAAACCTGCAGCCCTGAACCTCACAGAAAACCCCATCCCTGCACGGATTCCAGTGCAGCAAGCAGCAGCTCTTGCAATGATCTCTTTAATTGAATAATATCTGCATATATATATATATATATGTATATGTATATGTGTATGTATATATATGAAATCAGTGCATTTTTGAAATGAATATTGAAGCACTAAAAAGGGAAACACTCTGGAGGCATTTTCACCCTCATGACAAACGTCCTGTGTCACTGGCTGTGACAAGCAGCCCCAAAAACTTTCCTTCACGGGTCTCACTGCTGTGCTGCATTAAAGAGTTATGGTTAAGCCAGTTCTCAGGGGTTTTAATGTTAACCTCACTTCCTGTGGAAGTAAAGACCTTTAATTTGGTGATGAATCATCAACAAAAAGAAGACTGCACTTTTCTCTTAATTAACAGAAATGGCTCGAACTGCACCAAAATTTCCCCAAGATTTCTGTGCTCAGCTCTGGGAAGCCAAAATATGCAAAGATCAGATTTGATAAAGTTGTGGAGGATTTCTAGATAGCCATGAACTCCACAGTGAGGTCTAAATTAATCTTGCTAAGCTCAAATACCTACTTCTAATGCGGTGTAGCAGTAACCTCAATCACACCCTTTTCCTCTAGCATCAGGTTTCCCACGTTCAGAAGAAGAAAAGTTGAATAAAATGAAGTTCAAATGCCATGTCGGTGTCTGCCTCCGTGACGGCCACACTGCACGTGATTTGCACAAAAATATTGGTATTTAAATTAAAACATAGGGGGTTAATTTAAAACAGGCATGCCCTGAGGATGTTCTCATTGTTGTGGTGATAGATTTGGGCAAATGGCAAAGGAAGAAAATTGCAGAGATGGGGCAGCAAATCAGTGGAGGTGCTCAGACAAAAAGCAGAGTCCAGAAAACCCAGCAGGTCAGTGGTTTAGTCCTTGGGTAAAGTTCTTAGTGCTTGCAAGGAAAAGCTCTGCAGCACGAGCAGAAATGCCTCTTTATCTCGAGTGCTGAACCCCTCGGGGACAAGCAGAGAGCTCTGGCCACGCTGCCAGAACAGGAGCACTTTGGAAAGTCTGTGGAGAACAGGGAGATTGAAGTGGGCATTGTTATCTCAGAACGAGTTTTGCCCTCACACTGCTCAGTTTCGTTGAAATTTTCACACCAATGCAAAAAGCGACGTTAATTTTGGCACGTGTTTTTGCAGAGTCACTTCTGTATTCTGCACTGAGCTCTTTGAATTGATGAGAACCTGAAGCCAGAGTCACCTGTTGGCCTTTGTGTGTTTTCAGTAATTTTTTATTCAGCAGTGCTGTGACTAAATGAAGTATAACCGTGATTTGCCAAGTCACATATGAAAGATGAATGAAATAAAGATTTTCTGAATTGTTTGCAAGTACTCCAGTCACGGAATCATGGAACACCTCAGGCTGGAAGCAGGAAGATCACCAAGTCCAACTCCCTGCTCCTTGAGAGATGTCATTCTCCTTGCTCACCCTGGGCTCTTCTCTGCATCCAGGGCCTGGTGGTAGCACCAAAGCTCTTCTCCCAGGCTTTGCAGAAGAACAGATCTTTTCCCAAATAAATTCCTTCTTAACGTAAAGACCCGACTCTAAAACAGTTTTGAGAAGAGCAGAGGGAGCTGTGGTTTGGCCTTGGTGTGAAACGGGTGCGTTTGGAGAGAGGCTCTGTGGGATTCTCGTGTCCGCCCGAAACCCGCGCGGATGGAAACGGTTCACGTACAGCAGGCAAAGTCAGCTACCGGGAGGGAGAGAGGAAGGGCAGCTCCTCTCCGAGGAGAAACTCGTCCTATCTCTGAGAGTCCCGCGCAGAATGTTTACAAAACGCTCATTAAGGGAGAGGGGATGGCGAGATAGCAACAAATCTGGTGAGCAGCTTCCACTGGCCGAGATAAGAGAGGCAAGGCGGCCATAGAGGAGAGCGAGATCCAATTACCGAGACCTGGTTTTGGGGAGGGGGAAGGGGCAGACAGACAGGACGGATCACAAGTTCCAAGACAAGAGCTTCCAAACTTGTCATCCCTCCGTGACACAGCCCAGCGGATAAAACCGCCACCGAGCCCGCACCAGAGGCAGAGCTCGTTGAGCGCGGTTGGAGGCGAGGCCATGGATTCCGTCGTCCTCCAGCTCTGGGCTGTCCTCTCCCTCCTGGTTCACCTTGCAGCCTGCAGTCCCATCCTCAGCTTGGAGCACTCTTCCCTGGAGGAAGACGTGCCTCTTTTTGATGAGATCCTCTCCGAGCAAGATGGGGTTGATTTCAACACGCTGCTCCAGAACATGAAAAATGAGTTTTTGAAGACGTTGAACCTCTCCGACATCCCCCTGCACGAGTCGGCCAAGGTGGACCCGCCAGAGTACATGCTAGAGCTCTACAACAGGTTTGCCACAGACAGGACATCGATGCCTTCTGCAAACATCATCAGGAGCTTCAAAAATGAAGGTAAGAGCTGCTCACCTCTGGGAGAATGGATGGAAAGGAGCGTCCTTAGAGGCAGTGGGAAATGTCCTGACCAGGTAGGGAGCATGAAACGTGCTGGGAAAAAGGCCTTTGGTGAGGATGGCCTTGGAAATCAGCAGCTGTGGCAGGCCTGCCTAGACCCCAGCTGTGGTGAGAGTCCTTGTCCTTTGCTCTGGAGACTGGAGGGTTTTGGGGGAAGATGTGTCTTTAGCACTGGGGCAGCACCAAGTGTAACTTCAGTTCATCAGTTTCTTTATCCCAGTAGTGACAAATATCATTTGTAATCAGCTGATTGATGTTTTACATGGATACCTTAAGTAATATTTGAAATCAAGGCAAAACTCATTTTTACACACTGTTCAAAGTGTATTTTCAAGTGAAATATTTTAAAATTATGAGCTTAACCAGGTACAGCTTTCTGTTAATGCTTGTTGTTGTTGATCCCCGTGGCATTTGTAAAGTTTTCTTCCTTTGGTTCATCACACAGTCCAGAAAATACACAAAAGTAAGTGAAGAGGAATTTTGGATAACCAATAGGTTTTACTTTGGAGTACCAGAGTGTATCCTAATAAAAACAAACAAACAAAACCCAAAGAAATATCACAGAATATCGTGAGTGGAAAGGGACCCACAAGGATCATCAAATCCAGCTCTCAAGTGAATGGCCCACACAGGGATCAAAGACATAACCTTGGCATTATTAACACCCTGTGCCATTTCCCTCTCTTTTTTCCTCTGTTTTTCCTCCCACGTTCCCTTCAGTTCAACGAGGACGAGCTAAGGCTTCAGCACTAATATTCAATAATTTGCCAATACCTTTTTACACCAACACATTAAACTAAATAAGCATTTTTATACTAAAAATGTTTTTCAACTGAACATGTCCAAGTATCCATTAATCCACATGGCAAATGCAAGTGACGTGCCTCTTTTTGATGAGATCCTCTCCGAGCAAGATGGGGTTGATTTCAACACGCTGCTCCAGAACATGAAAAATGAGTTTTTGAAGACGTTGAACCTCTCCGACATCCCCCTGCACGAGTCGGCCAAGGTGGACCCGCCAGAGTACATGCTAGAGCTCTACAACAGGTTTGCCACAGACAGGACATCGATGCCTTCTGCAAACATCATCAGGAGCTTCAAAAATGAAGGTAAGAGCTGCTCACCTCTGGGAGAATGGATGGAAAGGAGCGTCCTTAGAGGCAGTGGGAAATGTCCTGACCAGGTAGGGAGCATGAAACGTGCTGGGAAAAAGGCCTTTGGTGAGGATGGCCTTGGAAATCAGCAGCTGTGGCAGGCCTGCCTAGACCCCAGCTGTGGTGAGAGTCCTTGTCCTTTGCTCTGGAGACTGGAGGGTTTTGGGGGAAGATGTGTCTTTAGCACTGGGGCAGCACCAAGTGTAACTTCAGTTCATCAGTTTCTTTATCCCAGTAGTGACAAATATCATTTGTAATCAGCTGATTGATGTTTTACATGGATACCTTAAGTAATATTTGAAATCAAGGCAAAACTCATTTTTACACACTGTTCAAAGTGTATTTTCAAGTGAAATATTTTAAAATTATGAGCTTAACCAGGTACAGCTTTCTGTTAATGCTTGTTGTTGTTGATCCCCGTGGCATTTGTAAAGTTTTCTTTGGATCATCACACAGTCCAGAAAATACACAAAAGTAAGTGAAGAGGAATTTTGGATAACCAATAGGTTTTACTTTGGAGTACCAGAGTGTATCCTAATAAAAACAAACAAACAAAACCCAAAGAAATATCACAGAATATCGTGAGTGGAAAGGGACCCACAAGGATCATCAAATCCAGCTCTCAAGTGAATGGCCCACACAGGGATCAAAGACATAACCTTGGCATTATTAACACCCTGTGCCATTTCCCTCTCTTTTTTCCTCTGTTTTTCCTCCCACGTTCCCTTCAGTTCAACGAGGACGAGCTAAGGCTTCAGCACTAATATTCAATAATTTGCCAATACCTTTTTACACCAACACATTAAACTAAATAAGCATTTTTATACTAAAAATGTTTTTCAACTGAACATGTCCAAGTATCCATTAATCCACATGGCAAATGCAAGTGCTTTGGCTTTGATTCATGTGCAGTTCCCATGGGGCACACGTGGCTGTTCAAGCTGCCATGGGGCCTCTCCCATCCTCTGTTCATTTAAGTAACGAACTTAAAGACATGATTGCTTTTTCCTCGGTGTTTGCAGTTTCAAAATGATGAGCTGTGAGGAGAGGCTGAGTGGAAGTCACTTGAGTTTTGCAGGGCAGTGAGATGCCAGGAGAGAATCCCAAAGCTCTGTTCTGCTCCCGTCTCCTGCCAGGCCCAGGCACCCTTTACAGCAGCGGATTTCTGCTGTGAAGAGACTCTGCACTGTGATTTAAAGTTCCTTTACATCTCCTTTTTTACAGTGTGGAGATATTTATTGGAGGGTTGGTGGCAAACCAGTTGCAGGCAGTGGGGGCCAGCTGCTCCCCTGGCCTTGCTGTGTCTGCTCAGGAGCAGGAGTGAAGGCACACAGCTGGGAGGTGTTGTTCTCACTTTGTGCTATTTGGAAACCAAACCATTAACAAACAAGCACAAAGATTGCCAAGTACAGCGTGGTAAGGAATAAAACACCCTGTGGTTTAGTGATGCAAGTCTGAAATCATTCCACCTGCAAAAATTTGGGTTTGCAGCACGGAAATGGCACGGGCTGGCCTTTGCCAGGTGGTGTTGGCAGCTCCCCGCTGTCCTGCCGTGCCTCTTGCAGAAGTTCTGCAGCAAATGGGGAAAACTCACCCTGAATTTCTGCCCTTTCAAATTTTCTCTCACCTCCTCCAATCCAAACCAGCAAGATGCAAAGTGAGACCGCTGATGGGAACACAGATTCACAAATATTTGCAGTTTAGGGTCTTTGTAATTCATGTTTTTCATGTGTCCTCAAAGTCTGGATAAATAAGAACCATTCCTTTCATGCTAAAGATCTCTTTGGATAGAGAAATTAATTGCTTGCAATGAGGAGGACAAGGAGAAACAAGGGATTGTTCTGTTCACCTGCCTGCTGAAAACTGGCAGTAATCCCAGTTTCATAACTATCCATTAAATCCTTTATTATAGAAATATGCCAGCTGGCATGGCTGGAATTAGCTCTTTGTTTTAACCCGTGGACCATAAGAGTTTAGTTGTAAATGGGGCTGTATTCAGTGCTTAATACTTGAAATAAAGTTTTAAGGGAAATTTTTTCTTTTCCTATGGACTCCAAATCTCCCTTCCCAACCCTCCCAGGGGTGCACAGGAAACAGCAGGAGGTCGGGCACCCTATGGACTTCAGCTGGAGAGCAGAGTCCCATCCTGGCTGTGTGAGAGGTGCTCAGGGTCTGCTCCTGCCCTGGCTCTGCGCCCACCTTTACCAACTGGCAGGGAAATGGAAGCAGGATCCCCCCTCTTTTTATTTCACTTGTGAAGAGATGAAAATGCAAAGTGAAAAAAAAAAAAGAAAAGAAAAAGGCAGGTGCCTCAAAGCCTCCAAACTAGAGTTAAACAGCACAAGTCATGTGCTGAAGTTCATGGCTTGCCGAAGTGCACTGGTGGAGCATGGCCAGGCCTTGTGGCTTTATCAGAGTCATTTTTCTACAAACACAGAAAAATTGGGGAGGGCAGAGATGAAGGGAGTAATAGGTCACAAACAGTTTGCCTTTGCATTAATTACAGTCACAGCCTCTGTGTCCCAGTCTGCCTCCTGGGCTGCGAGGAGGCAGCAAATGCACCCTCGTGAGCAGATCCTGCTCTGGGGAATGAGAGGTGCTCAGGGTCTGCTCCTGCCCTGGCTCTGCGCCCACCTTTACCAGCTGGCAGGGAAATGGAAGCAGGATCCCCCCTCTTTTCATTTCACTTGTGAAGAGATGAAAATGCAAAGTGAAAAAAAGAAAAGAAAAAGAAAAGAAAAGAAAAGGCAGGTGCCTCAAAGCCTCCAAACTAGAGTTAAACAGCACAAGTCATGTGCTGAAGTTCATGGCTTGCCTAAGTGCACTGGTGGAGCATGGCCAGGCCTTGTGGCTTTATCAGAGTCATTTTTCTACAAACACAGAAAAATTGGGGAGGGCAGAGATGAAGGGAGTAATAGGTCACAAACAGTTTGCCTTTGCATTAATTACAGTCACAGCCTCTGTGTCCCAGTCTGCCTCCTGGGCTGCGAGGAGGCAGCAAATGCACCCTCGTGAGCAGATCCTGCTGCCCAGGAAATGAGTGCTGCTGTGCAGCCAGGACAGGCAGCCCAGGTGACCCCAGACCTTGTCCTTCTCACCTGTGCCAGGGGGCCTGGCTGAGTGCAGCTGGTGCTCACCCAAAGCCCTTGGGGTCTGTGGCTGTGGCTGCCAGGTCACCCTGCTGTCCTGATGTAAAACATCTTCCAAAGCAGATTTTCTTCCCCAAGTGCTTGGCCCTTTCCGTGTCTGAGGGGTGTTTGAGCAGCAGGGAATTCCTGCTAGCACAGGAGCACTGCAGCACACACATTTCCTGTGTTTGCAGACTGTATGTTGTCCATTTCATGTGGCCTCCAGCACCATGTCCTTCTGCCTTCCTGCACTGAGTGTTTTCCCTTGTTTATTTACTAATTGCTGTGCAGCAACCTAGTGATTTCTATGCCATTATTAGGCAACACATTTTTAATATGTAGACCTTCCACTTGGCAAGGAAGTCCCTGGAAAGCCTGGGAACATAAGGATCAGTAAATCCAGGTCTGTAGCATGTCTGGGACCTTGCAGTCCTTACCCATCTAAAATAACCTCTGCCTTTTTTCCAAGCACAGTTGTGGGAATTGCTGAAAAAACCATTTTCCTGGAGCTGTCCAGGTGACACCCACCACGCTGGGTGACCCTCGGTGCGTGCGTTTGTGGGTGCATCGACTCTCCTAAAACATTTGATTTTTGTCCCTTCCAGACTTGGATTCCCACCCTACAGGCGTGACAGGAACTCGGAGGTACCCGCTGCTGTTCAACGTTTCCATCCCTCACCACGAGGAGATCACCATGGCAGAGCTGAGGCTCTACACCCTGGTGGAGCGGGACCAGAGGCTCTACGAAGGGCTCGACAGGAAGGTCACCATCTTCGAAGTGCTGGAGAACGTCCACCTGGGGGCTGGGGAAGAGAGGAAGATGGTGGCCCTGGCCTCGAGGCACATCTACGGCACCAGCAGCGAGTGGGAGAGCTTCGAGGTGACCGAGGCCATCCGGCGCTGGCGCAGGGCAGGGCTGACCACGCACAGGCTGGAGGTTCACATCGAGAGCAGCGAAGGGGAGGAGCAGAACGGGGAAGGGAAACTCGACATCGACATCAACTCCGAGGCCAAGCACCTGCCCCTGCTGGTCGTGTACTCTGACGACCAAAGCAACGACAAAAAGGAGGAGAAGGAAGAGCTGAACGAGATGATAGACCACGAGCAGTTCCTGGGCCTGGAGAACCTGGAGGTTGGCAACTTCCACGACCAGCCCGGCGAGGAGGCGCTGCTCCAGATGCGCTCCAACATCATCTACGACTCCACCGCCCGCATCCGGAGGAACGCCAAAGGCAACTACTGCAAAAAGACTCCTCTCTACATCGACTTCAAGGAGATTGGCTGGGACTCCTGGATCATCGCCCCGGCGGGCTACGAAGCGTACGAGTGCCACGGGGTGTGCGCCTACCCCCTGACAGAGCACGTCACGCCGACCAAGCACGCCATAGTCAAGACTTTGGTTCACCTGAAGAACCCCCAGAAAGCCTCCAAGGCCTGCTGTGTGCCCACCAAACTCGACCCCATCTCTATCCTCTACTTGGATGCAGGGGTGGTCACCTACAAGTTCAAGTACGAGGGCATGGTGGTGTCAGAGTGTGGCTGCAGATAGTAGGAGGGAACGCGCGCGCGGGGAGGGCACGGGGGGAGTATTTAATGATTCAGTCTGTAAATTTGTACATTTGGGATTTGCTATTTAATGAGGTTATTTAATGAGGCCTGTACAGATAATTGTATGTTTCCTGCCACGGGGAATGGGCACGTTGTGTAGGGATTGTATATTTTGTTCCTTTGCTTCCTTCTCGCTGCTCTTCTCTGTCCAGATCGCGACTGAGTCTCTCCTCCTGCCAGGGCATGGAGCTGATCACTGGATTGTTTGGGAGGGCTCTTGGTGCCAAAAGGGCACATCCAAATTCATGGAAATAAAGGCATATTTTTGTACTTTATCGATGTTGATTGGCATCTCCAGGGCTTTCCAGAGCTGTTAAAGATACCAGAGTGATGGGCAATCACACCTAGATTGTTCAGTGTTCTGTAATATCTTCATAAAGGTCTTTATGTGCTCATTTTTTTCTTAATTTATCTCTGTAGATCTTACATCCTGATAATTCTCAAGCTCCTGAATCACTAAGGGACAAACAAGGTGGTTTGTTTTCCTTTTTTCTTAATACTTTCTTCACTCTTTGCCCGTTCCAGTCAAAGGCAACTGGCAGGGATGATTTGGCATCTGGAGCAGAAGGGCACCATTCCCTTTCCCATCTTTCTTAAGAAAGCAGATGGCCCAGGAGCAGTGCTAGGCAAAGGCCAAGGCAAGAAATTCCCCCTGTGCAGGTTTATTGCAAAATCACTCTGAGGCAGCTCTGGCTTTGCTGCTGCAGCAGCCCTGGGTTGGCTCTCAAGGGCCAGAGCTTTAGGTGGCAGAAGGAAGTGCAATAAATTTCCTGCACCCTTGGAATTGCAGCAGCTAAAATTGTCCTTGAAATTCCTACCAGCTAAGAAGCAGTGCCCATCCCCAGCCAGCAAATCCCATGAGATGCACAATCCCACTGGAATGGCCCAGCAGTGCCAGGCAGAAGAGCAGAGCCCTCGGTGCCACCGGGACACGAGCATCTTCCCCTTCTGTAAGTGCAGAATTGTCGATTCACAGGGATATTCCTCCCCCCAGACTCTTCAGATGGAGTCACATGCCATGTTTCCACCACTCTTCTGCAACAAATCGTGGTGATAAGGAGGTGTCGGAGCTGAGAAACAATAGACCCGTCACTTTATTTATACTAAGCTGCAAATTTGTCAGATTCTTGGGAAAGTGTAAGTGATGTTGACTCTTTTAGCCTGTAGCAGAGCCTACTGTACTGTCCCTGCATCTGTTTTACACTTTTAAGGGAAAGTTATCTTCCCTGGAAGTGATAAGGGTCTTTGAAAGAATCACTCCAACACTTCATGGGAATGAACACCCAAGGCTTTATCACGCACCAGCTAAACCCAATTTCACCCATTTCCACACATATTCTTCTGTGCTTCCCATAATTTATTGACCTATTTATTGACTGCCTGCCTTTGTAATATAATGTAGAATACAGAATGTTTTATTTTTGTGCTCGTGTGAAATCCCACTTGGATAAAACTGATCCTACTTCACACGGAATCTCCCTGTTGAGTTGTGTGGCACAGAGAGCGAGGCTGCTGACTTCTTGGGTACTTGTAAGTCCCACACGGCTCAGTTAGCCCCTCTCCTGCAGAGCTGCTCCCTCACTGCAGTGGTTTCAGTGGAGTTTGGAGTATGGTCTCATCCAATTTACAGCTCCTCTCGTGGGGCTATCACAGCTCTAAGTGCTCAGCTGTGTAGTTTATTGTAGAGTTATGCAGTCTGCAGACAGTGGCCCGCACCCTGGGCTGTGACATTGCTTTATTCCTCACCCTGTGAGTGAGTGACACCCCTGAGAGACCTTTCCCCCGAGCCACTCTGCAATCAGGGCCCGTGGCTCATGGCACGCTGCAGGAATTCGGGGAGGTGTGACATTTGCTCTGCTGACATCAGCTGCAGCAGCCAGCGCTTGAAGTGTGACCACACAGACCCTTTCAAAACCATCCACGATTCTTCTGAAGCCATTTGCCAAGACAAGCCATTCACCTTGTTAGGAGTGATAATCCAGCATTAGGGAGATAATCCGACATTTGCTTTTATCATCTCATTTCTGCGGGCGCTGCCGTGGCAGAGATCTGCCCTCCCTGCCTTCCCCTGTCCTTCCCTGACTGCACCAATGGCTCTGAACAGGCTGCAGGGAAAGCTGGGCCTCAAAAACAATAAATAACCCCCTGCAATCGCCCATAAATATGTGAAGTCTCACTGTAAATTCTCAAGGGACCGGAAAGCAGAGCCGTGCCTGCCCTCTGTGTCTGTCAGATTCACTCTCTGTCCTTGTCTGGCAGAGGTTTGCTGGAGCACAGCAGAGTCTGTGGAGTGTTCAGGTACAAAGCAAACACAGCCCATGTGTCATTTGATCAGCTGCATGTGTGGACTTCTACAAGATCAGTAAAATTGTCACTAAACACCAAAGGTGCTCCTTCAGAACTAGGGGCAGCCAGGCTGTTGATGTAACTTTTCTTCATGAAGAAATGAGGTCTGTCCTGCTGAGGGAGGAGGATTTCAGCCAGAGTTTGTGGGGAAGGAAGTAAAGCTGTGTCTCATTGTGCTATTCTGGGAGAAAACTGAGCATTGAATCCTTCAGCTGCACCTGAGATCAGAACTCCTGGGAGTGGTGTTCCATTTATCAGGGGTGTCTGTCAGGGCTCCACAGCTGCTTCTTGAGCAAAATCTTCCCTTTGCCCTTTGCAACATAACCATGCAAAGGCATTTCTTGGATGTTCATGCAGTTCAATGACAGAGTTCAGAGCAAAAAAAAACAGGGGGGCACTTATTTCCTAAAGAGTTTCCCCCAAGCAGCAAATCAAGGCTGTTTCTGCAAGTTCAGAAGTGTTTGGCTTTAAAGCCCCTGTCCAAGTAGACACAACAGTCACAAACAACAGGCTGAGGGTGTGACAAGAGCCAGGGCTGCCAAGCTGGGAGTCCCAGGAGTCCCTGAAAAAATGTTCCAAGTCCCTGAAAAACTGTTCCACTGAATGTCTTCATTTTCTTTGTTTCTATGTTCTTCCTTCCATCCATCCATCCATCCACATTAGTACTGTGACTTCTGTTTCTAAAAGGCTTTATTTGTCACATTAAAGTCGGGTGTGCATTGATTCTCCTTTCATTTCTGATCTATTTCATCTCAGCATATTAGCAGATGTTTGACTGAAATCTTCAATTCAATCTTAATTTTAGAAAGGTTTGGGAAAATATGGCTTCACTGTGGAAGTATCCATCTTTCCATCCATCCATCCATCCATCCATCCATCATCCCTCCATCCATCCATCCATCATCCATCCTTCCATCCATCATCCATCCATCATCCCTCCATCCATCCATCCATCATCCATCCTTCCATCCATCATCCATCCATCATCCCTCCATCCATCCATCCATCATCCATCCTTCCATCCATCATCCATCCATCATCCCTCCATCCATCCATCCATCATCCATCCTTCCATCCATCATCCATCCATCATCCCTCCATCCATCCATCCATCATCCATCCTTCCATCCATCATCCATCCATCATCCCTCCATCCATCCATCCATCATCCATCCTTCCATCCATCATCCATCCATCATCCCTCCATCCATCCATCCATCATCCATCCTTCCATCCATCATCCATCCATCATCCCTCCATCCATCCATCCATCATCCATCCTTCCATCCATCATCCATCCATCATCCCTCCATCCATCCATCCATCATCCATCCTTCCATCCATCATCCATCCATCATCCCTCCATCCATCCATCCATCATCCATCCTTCCATCCATCATCCATCCATCATCCCTCCATCCATCCATCCATCATCCATCCTTCCATCCATCATCCATCCATCATCCCTCCATCCATCCATCCATCATCCATCCTTCCATCCATCATCCATCCATCATCCCTCCATCCATCCATCCATCATCCATCCTTCCATCCATCATCCATCCATCATCCCTCCATCCATCCATCCATCATCCATCTCTGAATTATTGTGAGCCACTAAAGCAACCCTGTCTCACCAAAATCATCAGCATCAGAAGGATTTTTGCCTTCATCTGTTTCTAGGTGAACATGTATGAAATTGTGAGCAGCTGTGCAGCCCCTTGTTTGCTGGATGCTGTATGAAATTCCAGGCAGTGCTTTCAGGCTATGCAGGCAGGAGCAGGCAAAGGGGTGGGAGCAAAACGAACAATCCCAGAGAGGAAGAGGCTGGAGAGCAGCTCAGCGAGGGAGCTGAGGGAAGGATGCTGTATGAAATTCCAGGCAGTGCTTTCAGGCTATGCAGGCAGGAGCAGGCAAAGGGGTGGGAGAAAAACGAACAATCCCAGCTTTGCTGCTCTTAAATCCACACACACAGAGCCTCCAGGAGAGCCTGAACCTCAAGACATGAACCTCCCTGCTGGGGCTGTGCGAGCACAGTGACAGCTGTGTCTGCTGAGCCAACACTCAGCACCCAGGGCAGATGTCACCAAGCACTTGGAAGGCTGAGGTTCCCTTAAGGGATCCCTATCTGGGAGCTCTCTGCACGTGGGCCACAGTTCCTCAAATAGATTTGTGCCCAGAGCCTCCCTGGGCTGTGCCCGGGCTCCAGGCTCTCTCTGCAGGGCAGCTGATGCAGGATGCACATTCCCAATTTTGGAGGGCCACACCTGCCAGCTCAGCAGGGTTCTCCTGGCCCTGCCTTGCTCTGGGCTCTTTGGGGTGCCCTGAGAGCCTGCTCACAGGGAGCTGTTCAGCCAGGAGAGCAGGGCACCCCTCTCCCTGCCCCTGCCCATCCCGTTTGGGGGTGCCCAAATGCCAACCTTTGGGGGACAATGACATTCCTCAATATTGTGGCCGCATCTCTTTCCAGATCTCTGTGCCCTGCCAGGTGAGCAGCACCCTCTAAAGGCATGAGGTCAACCTCCCCAAACCTCATTTTTTCACATGAAAAATCATCTGAAGCAGCAGCCAGAACCTATTCCAAATTTCTCCTCC